GGTTCTTGGGTCCAAACTGAACACAACTAGTGCCACCTGGAGGTCAATGTGCAAACTGCAATGGTGGTACTGTGCACCAGGGGTAACTCTTGTCTCCCCCTCTCCCTAAACATTATTTTGGTTCTCAAGTCCATCATCCTCCAATCACAGAGTCAAAGCCCAGAAGGCAGAACTACTCACTTCTACCAGATGGTTGTCTGGCCCATACAGGTCTTTGTCCAGTTCAATCACCAAGGACTTAAAAAAGGAAGAGAATTTCCTCTTTTGTTTGGTGGCATCATATTTGGACAAGGCTGACTAGAGGAGAGAGGAAAATTTATGTTAGAGATGGCCAGAAGAAATCCCCCAACACATTGTCCTATAGAAAAGGAACCCACGGCTCGGCGCCTGTGGCTCAAGCGGCTAAGGCGCCAGCCACATACACCTAAGGTGGCGGGTTCGAATCCCCAGCCCGGGCCCGCCAAACAACAATGATGGCTGCAACCAAAAAAAATGGCCAGGCGTTGTGGCGGGCGCCTGTCGTCCCAGCTACTTGGGAGGCTGAGGCAGGAGACTCGCTTGAGCCCAGGAGTTGGAGGTTGCTGTGAGCGTGATGCCATGGCACTCTACCCAGGGGGATAGCTTGAGGCTCCGACTCAAAAAACAAAAAACAAAAAACGAAAAGGAACCCACAACAGCAATGGGAAAAAACTAAAAAATATCTTCTGAGTATCTCTTAGGAGATGGCAAAGTAGGCATCTGTAGGTATTAAACCAGTCATGGTAGCAAGAGAACCCCGAGGAAGCACCCTTTAACACATATAGGGTCACTGACTTACCCACCTCATTTGCCCAAGGGAAATAAGGCAAGTTAAGCCAAATCGTTGCACATAACAAAGCAAGTTTGAACAGCAAAAAGTCTGACTCTAGAGGGGAAATGAATCACAGGCAGTAAGCAGCCAGAACAAAAACAGCTTTATTTGGACGGAATGACACCACCAGCAGATGGACTGGACCTATATAGAGAAAAAGGCTCTGACACTGAGCTCTGGTTCTCTGCAAAACTGCATTCAAATTAGCTTGCCTGTAAGCAGCTAAAAATAGAGAACCAGAGACTATAAGGGAATGACAGAAAGGTGAGCTTCCCCAAGGAGCTGCTGAGGTGAAAAGTTTGGGGTCTATCACCCACCAGCAGATGCTCCCCATAAAGTAATAAAGAGCCTATCAGAGAAATCTATCCTACTTAAACTGTGAGGTATCTCCAATGAAAGCTGGGAAGATGGAGATGCCAAAGTGAAAAGCAAGGACTCAGAGAGGAAACATGGCCCCAATGCAAACTGATTTAATTAAAAAAATCTAATCTGCAGATACTGCAAAATCCAGCAGCCACCAGGACCTAGAGGAAGGTAAACAATGCATCAGATCCCAGGACAATAAGGTTCTTAATATGATACCAGTGAGGGCCAAAGCTGTAGGAGCCAAACACAAAGGACCATTATCTTTCCGTGCAGTGAAGAGAGTATCCCTCTCCCTGCTGCTCGCAACAGGAGCCATAAACACCAGTCAGGCGTCCAGCTGACTAGACAACACACAACACTGCTTGTTCCCAGAAACTCCCACCCTAATTGCCAACCATGGTGGACCTTGAACTCACATCCTCCAGGAGCCGTCCTTCTACCCGAAGCTCCCAGGAAGCCACCGTCCCTTCCCCATCCTCGGCATCTGACTTAGCCGGATTGAAAGTGTTAGAAATGAAAATTCGCAGCTTCCGTTTTTGCTGAGGAAGGCAGAAACATGATTGATGGTGGGGCTTCAGTGGTTTGATGCTGAAGACAATGGGTCTCCCCAAATCCCAAAATTACTCCTAATAGACAGGCCTGCTATCTACCCAGTCCCTCGGGTGGGTGGATGAAGATTCCATTTAGAAGAAGAGCATAGGCCACTAGCCTGAGTACAAGTGTGTACACTAGGATGCCAAGTAGACAAAGTCATGCAAGGTGCCAGGTTCCCAAGGCAGCAGAGCAGTTACAGCAGAAACATGGACAGAGTATATTTCTGGTACAAGAGACATCAAATGCCCCTCCCCCTTTGTCATTCTGTTCTTATGCTCCTAATGTAGTTCTCAGTTTGTAGGTGGAAGAGAGAGATACAATTAAAATGCCAAAGAGAGCTGTGCTGTGCCTTTGATTTCTCATCCTGAGCCTGCGGAAGGTTCCCAAGTCCTCTCCTTTGGCTCTCTGCCTAGTGCTGTGTTACCTTGATGGGACGTTTCAAGGCCTCCTGGATATCTAGCCGTTTCCTCATGATAGTCTGGTCCAGTTTCCTTTCAAAAGCCAAGAGATCCATATAGGCCTGGGATTCTGGTACCAGTTCACGAATCTTAGGAGCAGAAAAATATAGTTGGTATCTAGAGATGATATCTCTATTCTCAAACTCACCACATCTTCAGAAGACCTATAGACTGGACTCACCCTTTGAGGTAGAATTTTGTCAGCCATCTTCTTTTTCTTTGCACTGTTTGAAATAAATACTATTATCAGGCTGGGATGGAACTAATCAGAACATGAAAATAATCTGTCAGTACCACCATTTACAGTAAAGTGAGGGGACTGTAAAACTCTCACCACCCCCACCACATGACATTCTCAAGGTTGAGTCCCACTGCTGACACCGCACCACCAATTCTTGGTTCAGGTACTCGGCCTCCCTGTGTCCCTCACAGGCTGCCCCTCCCTCCCTTCTCCCTTCTCTCCTTCTGCCCTAAGGGGTCATCTTACTTGTGATTTCGATTTTGCACTGCCTGCTGCTGGACCTGCTGGATCTGCTGAGGTGCAGGTCTCTTGCGGGATTGGTCCATCCCTGACTGGGCCAGGCCAGGTCGGACTGAAGGGTTCCCCCCATAGCCAGGGGGTCCCATGGAAGGTCCCTGAGGTGTCATTCGGCTGCCCGGAAGCATACCTGGTCTCTACAGGGGAGAAATGATACGAAGATGTCATGGTTTCCCTTCTTAATCCTACCAAGATAGGGAAAATAGGGGATGTTGGCGTTCTTTGAATCAAACAAGGCTGGGGGTGGGAAGTGGAGGACAATAAGAGGAGAGTCCTCTTCCCTCTTTGCAATGTAGGTAACTGGATCTTCTGCTCCAGTAGTGATTCCACAGAAAAATAGGGTCCAAAAGCTAAGAGATAGATCACACTCGAATTCTTCCCAGTCTATCTTGTAACTGACACATCAGATATTCCTAGCCCCACCTTTACTCTGCCAACTATCTCCTTAGACGCTGACCTCAATTTACCAGTGACCCCTTGTGTTCCTCTGAGCACTGGAGGTACTCAAGTCCCTTTGCACTCCAGCCCTCAGATGCCCATCCCTACCCACACTTCACCCACCCTGGTTCTCTACCGACTCCCCACGGAAACAATGCCCCGCAGAGCAGGTGGGGAGGCAGTTAGCATTCCTTCACACTACTTACCCCGCCCCCTCCCAGGGCCCAAACCCCTCCCAGGGGAGTCCCTCCTACTTCTACCCCCACCCCTGACACTCCCAGGCCCCCGCTCGGCCCCGCCCCCGGCCCGTGCGCCCCTCCTCCTGCCCCACTCACCGGATAGGCCGCTCCGGGCATCGGGGAGCGGTACAGCCCTTGACCCGGCGCCGGGCCCATTCGCACCGGAGGCCCCGGAGTTCCGCCCGGGCCAAGTGCGGCTGCCGCGCCCGCTCCTCCAGCGGCTCCGGCGCCGCCGCTGGGAGCCACAGACTGGAAACCCGCCCGGGCCGCCATCTTCCCGGAGCCGCCGCTGCAGCTGCACAAAGAACCGGAACCGGAACTCCCCCCGCCTCCCAAACGCCCCCCAAGCGCCCGCCTGTTCGCCCGGCCAGCCGGCCGGCGCGGGAGGCTCAGGGCATCGAGACTGTGAGCTAGAGGGGGGCGACTAGCGGAAAAGGCCTGGGGCCACTCCCTCCCGCCTTCACGGTCCGGGAGGGGGGAAACCATAGAGAAGAGCTCTAGGATAGAGAGGCTCCGTGTGCGGGCGCCCTCAGGCCGACGGGAGGAAGACAAGGACCTGGAAAAGGGGACCGCAGCCCCAGCCAGGGTCCTGACTCTGACAACAGCTCCTTGGGTAAAGAGTACGTTGGAGTAACAGCTTCATCTTTTTTTTTTTTTTTTTTGAGACAGAGCCTCAAGCTGTCCCCTTAGGTAGAGTGCTGTGGCATCATAGCTCACAGCAGCCTCCAACTCCTGGGCTCAAGCGAGTCTTCTGCCTCAGCCTCCCAAGTAGCTGGGACCACAGGCGCCCGCCACAACGCCTGGCTATTTTTTGGTTGCAGCCATCATTGTTGTTTGGCGGCCCGGGCTGGATTCGAACCTGACACCTTAGGTGTATGTGGCTGGCGCCTTAGCCACTTGAGCCACAGGCGCCGAGCCAACAGCTTCATCTTGAAGCAATGCATTTAACTGTCCAAAGCTCTTGTTTGCTTTTATCATTCTCTTAATGCTGTAACCACGGGGGCTGAAAAGGGAAATGTGCTGTTTATTCCATTTCACAAATGGGAAAAGCTAACTCAGGGCAATGACTTGGCAAAGGCCAACCAGCAAGTTCGCTATAGAACCAAAACCAAGAATCCAGATCTCCTGGCTCATAGCCTGAGACTCATTCCACAGGTAAAATGTTTCGATAAGTACCTCATGCAAGAACTTCAGCCCAACTTTGTCTTTGACCTTACATGCTTTAGATTTTAAGTTTCAATTTATCTTAAATTTTGACCATGCCTACAATCCAAAGAATCTTTTGTGTTGGGACTTATGTTTGAGGTTTTTGTTGGCTTTGACACTTCCCTCTTTCCCTGCCTAGTGGTACAAACCATTTTTGGTGTGATGGTCAACTTGTCCCATCCCAGGAAAACTAGGGTTTCCCTGCTCAAATCTTCTTACTCCTCCCCTGCTTGTTTGGCCCCAAGGAAAGCTCAGCTTTAGACCCTTAGTGGGAATATCTAAATACTTTTTGAATAAGAGAAGAACAACACTGAAGAAGAGATGGTCAAAACCCAGTTTATTAGACCAGAGGCATGCGTCACCCAGAGCCCTGCCTGCTGTTCCCCTATCCAGTGCATGCTTCTTGGCCGTGTTCCTCCTTTCCTTTGGGGAGGTATGATCTCTAATGAACCCCTAGAAACCAAGAGTTTCCAAAGATCCTATAGCCTTACTCTGCAGCTCCAGATCAATGCACAGGTGACCTGCCCACAGGTCCTGTCCTGGGATTGGAGACCAAAAGACATCTGGGCAGAGAAAGCCTGGGAAGGGGAGGGGCTCTGGCCTGGGAGGAGTGCCTGGTGGAGGGGTAGGGTAGACCCTCCACCTCACTTGTCTCTCCTAAAGGTTGGGAGGAACAGAATAGCAGAGCCTCCCAACTCCTCCTCTAGGCCTCCCACTACCAAACCCTACCTCACCAGAAAATATAAATGGTGGGCTTGAGTATCAGGTGAGGAAAGGGGGCTGGACACCCCAGAAGGAGGAAAAGGCCACTAACTGAGGACCTCAGCTTCTGCCTGTCAGCAACTTGCTGCCCAGCTTCAAGAGTCACCAATCTCCAGCTCTCTTCTGTTTCTGACACTCTTGGCTCAGTGTCCAGAACAGATCTCCATCCCCTAGGTAGGGAATGACTTTATAGCAACTCCTACCCTGGGGAGGCCACAGTCAGCTAGGAAAGGGCATTGGGATGGATGGAGCAGGGGAAGGGAATGTTAAGGCTGCGGGGGAGGGGGGCAAAGGGTGCCCAGGTTGGGGGAAGAGGGTGAGGCCAGAAAGAGGCAGAGCTTGTGATTCACAGCTTCCTTTCTCGCCACCGAGACAGTGCGAAGGTTACAATGCGCGTGTCGTCTCCTTGTGCTTCTCAGAGGGATGTGTGTACACAGTACAGACACCAGGGGAGAGAGTCCAACTCTTTATACAGGCGAAGGCATTCAGAGACCAGGGAGGGGGCAGAAACACAGAAGGGGGAAATCGGGGCGGGAGGATGGTTCTCAGAGACAAGAAGGGATGGGGTAGAGACAGACAGGGTTAGGGGAAAGTATATACAGAGATATAGCAATATAGAGTCTGTATCATATAGAAATAGAAAATGCAGATGAGGTTGTTGAGAGAAGCAAATGAAGTTGGGAAGGAGGACTTGGGAGAGTTCCATAAGAAAATTTATGGATGTGGCCTCTGCAAGGGCCTCTGGGAGAGAGACTAGTGAGGTCAGGCACCAGTGCCCCTCTCCCTGAGCTGGAAGCTAACCAGCCATGTCTTTTAAGGAATGACAGAGGAGGGCTGCCTCTTGGGATTTCTGTCCAGCAGCTTTTTTTGGATGGGGGGAGGGAAACTTGTGATATCAGAATGTAGCCTACAGCACCAGGACAACATCACGTCCCTATCTCCATTTCTTCAGGGGATCTCCCACCCACACCCTCCTAGAGATTCCACATGGTGTGAAGGAATGGGATTGGGGTTTTATTCCTGCCTGGAGACTTGGATTTGGGGGCAGTTACTGGGCTGAGAGGGTCTCTTAAGGCTGGGGAAGCCCCCCCACTAGCCCTCCCCCTTAAGATACATTCTCTGGTTTGGGGCCAAATTCCAGGCCCGGGGGATCCCTTCCACCCCTCACTGGGGAGGGGGCTTTGGTGACTGGTGGCAGCAGAATGTAGGTGGACACTCAGATGACAGACAGCCAGAAAGACAGAATTCCGGCTGGGAGCTAGGGGAGGCAGCATGGGGGAGACAGGGGCAGCCTGAGATCCCTTGCCCTATTCTCCCTTTTTAGTCTCTTTTTTAAGATTTAGATTAGTTTTGTTAAACACAAAAAGAATGGGATTGAGGCAGGGAGAGGTCTCCATGGTCAAGATTCCTTCCTCACCACAATCAAGAGGAAAGGACTGTCCAGGAGTGGGGGTTGAGTCCCCAGGGCACATGTGGGGGGTGGGCAGCTGGGGACCCCCTTGCTCTCCTAGACCTCCCTATCTAGGCCTTTGGTTCAGTGGCCTGCAGGGCTCAGCAGGTAAAGTCTTCAAACGTGCCTCGGGCCGGATGGTGAGGTAGGATGTTGGCAGCGTACGTCATCCCGGCAGGATGGCCCCGGAGGCTCTCGCACGGGTTCTAGGGGAAGGGCACGCACAGGGACCAGTTATCTATCAAAGGCCACAGAGAGTGCTGGGGCGTTGGGAGGGCAAAGGAGAGAAGGGAGGATGGGGGCGATGGGTGGGAGATTCTGGGGCGGTGGGGCAAGGGACAGGACGGAGGGCGCCTCTAGCTTGCTCCCTCACGTGTCTTTTGACGTCGTCCAGGCTGAGGGCTACGCCCTTGTCCGCGCTGCTCCTTTTGGCCTCCTTCTGGCACTTCCCTCGGCGGCACAGCTTGTGCTTGATGACCTAGCACAGGGGCGGGCGCGTGGGCGGGCTGGATCCCGCCCCTGCTTGGCCCCGCCCCTCGGCGCCCCGCCCCTGCTTACCTCGTAGGCGTAGTCGAAGAGCTCCAGCACCGTGAGGATGCTGGCCCCGATGAACAGCCCCATCTGGCCCCCAATGTCACCTGCCGGGGCAAGGGGCGCAGGAAGGTCAGTGGGGTCAGGACACCGAGAGGACGTCGGGACTTACTGGGACTGGGGTAGACAAATCGTATTCGCAAGGGATTGGCAGCCTTCTTAAGAAGGACCGAAAAGCCAGACTGGTGAAATTTTAATTTTTTTCTCTATGATTGTCTGCATTTTTCTACTTTTCTAAAATGAACAGGTGTTTTTTCAGGAAAATTAACTGTTTACAAAATCTCCAACATTCTGAGTCTCTGGGCCAATTTTAGGAGCATGTGAAATAGCCTTAGCCTTCACCTCCACCCCACCCCTCCCTTATGCCCATGAGCCTGTCTTTTCCACTTTGCCCCAAGAGAAGGCTCAGCCAGCTTTCCTCATCACATACCAAGACAGCAGGGTTTGGAGGAAGGCCCTGGGGATGGCGGCCCTTCTGGGACAGAGGTGAGCACCCTGCTTTGGGTAATAGGGAGCCACACCATGCCCATGGCATGGCAAGGGGTCAGGTGCCATCAGCAGCTCACCCAGGAGCCCTGCAATCTCATAGGCTTTCTTCTGTTCAATGGTCTCATAGTTGAGGACTTCAAAGAAAATATCCAGCACCAGGATGTTCTCCCTGCACAGGGGTTGGGGGAGGAGACTTGGGTTCAAGTCATATCTCTGCCTCTTACTAGCCAGGTGACCTTAGCAAGTCAGCCTCTCTGAATCTCAGTTTCCATATCCATAAAATGAGATGCTGATGGAGTCCCCTGCTTTTTAGGGTTGTTGTGAGGACTAAATAAGATGGCACATATGACAAAATGTTCTGCAGACTGGCAAGTATGAGGTGATCCCACTTACAGCAATGAGAATGAAGAAGAGAGAGGAGAGAGGGGTGCTTCCCCTGCTTGTGCTTACTCTGATCTCCTCTCCACACCCACCCTAGATTCTTCAGTTCCCTCTAGGATCTACCCTGTGTTCTCTCAACTACCTCCTGCTTGCAGCCACAATCAAAGCCCACTCATAATTTTCACAGTCCCAGCCTAAGGCCCTTGCTCTACACAGTCGGAGCCCTTACCCTATGTACTGCTCAGACTTGTTGAACTTCTTGGCCAGGTACTTGGCTGAGGCTTTGCTGGGGATCTTGACCATGGACAGCTCCTTGCCATAGCGGGTCAGGTTGCAGGGCATTTCGCACACACAGTACTCCTGGTCCTTCTCCACCAGGAAGTCTGCACCCAGCCAGGTAAGAGGTGCCAGTTGAGTGGTGCCCTTCTGCCAGCACCTTCTCAACACATACATCCTGGCCCTATCCACAGGAACCCTGGGCCCCCTTCTCTTTTCCTGACCTGCTCTTCACCTTAGCCCTGTACCCACCCTATGCTAATCCTTACTAAGACTTCCCATGGATATTTCTTAATCCTGTGTCTCATTCCCTCAGAGCCCTCCAGGGTCAACCAGTTGAGGGGCTGAGGAAGAGGATAAAGGCCCTTCTCAGGTGACCCTCATTCATTTTCCATACAGGCTTCTGAAGATACTATTCTCAGCCTTAAATTCAGATACAGGTGAGGGTACAGCCTAGTCTAGGAATTATTGGAAACTTCTGGGAGCTTGGTCTGAAACCCCTGTGCATATGGCTGTCAGCATCTTTTCCCTCCCCCAGGCTTCCCCAAGACAGGGGATCTCACCCAGAGCAGGATCTGCACACTCCTTGTACTGCTCTGGAGTGCAGTATGGGGCATCCCCTACAGAGGAGAAAAGACAGTGCTGCAGGGTGGAGATGAAAGCGGTCTTGTGATCTTGGAGGTGCCAAAGGCCTAGGAGGTGGAAGCTGGGAGAGAGTGGAAGGGTAGGACTAGCCAGGCCCCTGCCCCCATCTACCCTGGAAATAACCCCACCTCCTAGAACCCTCCCACCTATCACTTTTAGAACAGTAAGGAACTGAGGTCAGAGAGAGGACAGCAAGGTGGGTATGGGATGGGGCGGGCTGGAAGTGGGGTGAGGAATTTGACACGGATGGGGAGTTGATGAGGGGTAGTGTAGGTCAAGGGACCCTGGAGTTGTGCTCAAGCCTTGGGGCCTGACCTGGCATGTGTACCATTCGGCAGTTGCAGTTTTCCACCAGGTACCGCGTCTCACAGTCGATGCGGCAGGCGGTGATGCTGTAGGAGTCGAAGAAATCCAATTCCGAGTCCGTGGTAACAGTTTTGCAGGTACCCCAGGGTGGGGGCAGGTAGATGAGCTGCTGGGAGAGCCGGGGAGCTGGGGGAGTGTGGGGACTTCTCCCCGAGTTACCTTGATGGATTTATCTGACAAGATGCAAAACTCAGAAGTTCTGCCTCTTCCTCTGCAGCCTCTGAAGGTCTCAGAGTTTACAGAGCACTCTCATTCATTAGATAATTTATGCGTCTGACAAGCCACATGACTCCCTAGGCCCTAGGTCACCTCCCTTTCTCATTATTGTCACACACACCCCCCACTCTATCATGATCCTTCAACACCCCAACCCAGGATCAGCCTCCCGTAGTCCTCTCACCCGCTGCTCCTGGCAGGCCACAAATGTCTGGAAGCCTGGAGCCACACCAAAGCCCAGCTGGTCAATGAAAGGAGGTTCATCCTGACTATGGATCTGCACTTTGATGCCTGCTTCGAAGGACGTCTCATCTATGGGAATGAGGGGTGTATGGATTGAGAGGGCTTCTGGTCCCCAGACCCCTTCAGAGCAGGGGGAATTCTACCTCTCCTGTAAACACAGCATACACTAGGCCTGGGGTGGGGTAGTCTATGAGTTATAGCCCGCCCCAGTCTCCTTCTGCATTTCTTAGTTCCTTGTTGCTCTGATGACCCCTGTGTCCTACACATTTTTTGCCTTACCTGGCTTCTGCTTGGTGTCTTGCTGTTTTAAATTTTTTTCTCCCAGAGAGAGTGTCACTGTCTCAGATGCTCTCCATTTCTCCCCTCCCTTTCTCCCTTCTCCCCATCTCTCTCTGCCCCAAGGCCCCCCGAGACCAGACAGGCAGGCAGCCTGAGAAGAGAGGGAGTTATTTATAGAGTGAGTGGCGGCTGCTGATGGAAAAAGATGACTGGTTACCTTGGAGAGTAACTGAGCCAGAGATATGTGAGTGTGGAAGTCAGGTAGAGTCGGAGGTGGAGATGGTGAGATACTAGGGGAGGAAAGGGGAGAGGCCAAACCCTGCCCAGGTCCCACAGTGGAGCCCAAGAGTCCCTTGGTGGAGGCTGGGGCCTAGAGCTGTGGGGAGGGGCCCTGAGGGGTAACATACCCGTCTCCCCCCACACTGGCAGGTACTCGTCCTGCTGGATGTCCAGCATGATTTCCAGCCCATTGCCCGTCCCACCCTTCATGGTCTTCAGCCGTGGCCGCCCATCTCGGCCTGAGTTGAACGTGTAGCACTTTCCATACCGTGTGAAGACCTGGCAGGGGCAGAGTAGAGAGCCTGAGAGTCCTGCCAGCACTCACCAAAGGCTGTCCTCATATCCTCCATTTTCTGGAATCTCAACATCCTTTGGGAATGATTCCTCCCAAATAGCCCATTCTACATTTGTTCCTCTCTCCTACCTGTTCTGTGCCCTGCTGTACCCTGAAAAGCTGTGGTGGGGCACATCACCTGAGCTCCTTTGCCACCTGGATGGGCTGCTGGTTGGTTTTGGCCAATGGGAGGCATCAGTGAGGGGTCAGAAGGCAAGAGGAAAAACTAGAATACTGATCCTCTCCATGCTTCTCCCCTCCTTAATTCTGGCAGAGTCTTGGGCCCCTGGTGACTACAAATCTTGCCAGGAAAACTCCCTCCAGAGCACTATTTCCTTTTGTGCTCCTTCAGCCTAGACGAGATAATAATTTCCTACTCCTGCTAGCTGCCTTAGCCCCCCTCATTGGTTTCTTAAACCCTGCCCACAGCCCCTTTGTTAAAGTTTTTTCTTTTTCTTTTTGTTGCAGTTTTTGGCTGGGGCTGGGTTTGAACCTGCCACCTCTGGTATATGGGTACAGTGCCCTACATTTTGAGCCACGGGCACTGCCCCAGTTTTTTCAATAGAATTTTTAGGGGTAATCTTTTTCCTGCCAAGACCCTGACATACACACCTTCGTCACCAAGATCCCATCACTGTCAGATATCTGGTTCTTCCTTAGGACCGTCCCCTTAGGCCCAAGCTTCTGGGGCCTTCTGAGACATATCTTCTCTTCTAGACTTCACTCCAAACATCTGAAATCATCCTTCTCTTTCTTTCTTTCTTTTTTTGCAGTTTTTGGCCATGGCTGGGCTTGAACCCACCACCTCTGGCATATGGGGTCAGCGCCCTACTCCGTTGAGCCACAGGCGCCACCCCATCCTCCTCTTTCTAAGAGAAGCACTCAAGCCAAACATTTTATTTCCTTCAACCATTAGTCCTTTATGTCTATCCCACTATCTCTAGAAATTGAACATGGACCCAGTTGCCATGCCAAGGACCATGTTTGCCCAAGCACCAGCACTTCTCCCTACTCTTGGGATTAAGCACCCAGGGCATGGTATGTTTGACAGTGCTTTTGCAGAACTAAGAGGGCCTCAGAAGCTATCTCAGGCCTGGGGCAGTGTCTACCATCTCCCCACTCCATGCTCCAGCACTGCCCTTATCACAGCTCTGATCACACGGCTGTGGGAGAAGAGTAAACCAATGCTTTTTTTTTTTTTTGAGTAAACCAATTCTTCATGGCCCTTTTCTACATCCTCCCCAGATGTCCCCAACTTCCCACAAATGGGGTAGATGTGCTTTTACTACTTCTAGATGGTGACAAAGTTCACAAAGTGATTCATAAGGTGAGACCAGACACATCCCACAGAAGAGAAGAGACAAAAGAGTTTCAGGTGAGACTGGAGCAGTGGGGGCAGTTAGGATTACTGGGAAAAATAGTCTTTGCCCCCTTCCCCCTTCCTAAAACAGCCTTCTCCACACCCCTCTAGAAAAGAAAACTTGGTTCCCTCCCCTGTTTTGTGGGTGAGGTCCAGAGATGAGGCAAAGAGAACTTTGATTCCCCAGCCCCACCACTAAGTCTTGTGGCACTCAGCTACATGGTGTGAGGTGGCCCAACCTACCACTGGCTCAGAGGGCCTGGCTGCTGAGCAGTGGGTTGCTGCTGCCACCTGGTGGTTTTGGATAAAAAGCGTATGTTCTACCCTTAGGCCCAGGGGAAGCCCGGTTAACTGGATCCTTGTCCCACGATCCTTTATTTTCTGGCCTCCCCGAGGCCCAATGGCCCAAATCCCCAGGTCTCTCTGTATGTCAGCAGTTGTTGCATGATACACTGATATGATGAAACCCACCCGCTCCTATACTAGGAAGGAGGTGGGAGGACTGAGGGATGGGTGTGTGGGGAGGGAGGGCCTAGCATCTGGACCCTGCTGGGAGGAGAGCATGCAGGCCAAACAGAGCTGGAAGATGAACTGAGGAGAGGAGGGGGTCCCACGTGGTCCCTCAGCAAAGAAGGCCCTAAACTCCTGGATGGGAGGTCCACTGGAAGGACACCTCTTTCAGTGAGGGCTTCCCTGGGATGAGGGTCCCAGGCCACTTAGTTTGAGTTGGGGGAGCAGGGATGATATAGAGAAGACCTGTTTGTTATTCACCCTTAGACACACACACACACACACACACACAGAAGGTGGGGTGGGGCACCCATAGGAGAGACACAGGAAGACCAAGTGAGGGTGCTCTGAAGTCCCTGCTGTGGGACTGTGACAAGGGGTATGGTGGGATGGAAGTGGAGGCCATCATCACCCATCACCACCTTTGCATGGTCTCCCCTCCACCCCCTTCTCCTGTACCTACAGAAACCAGGTGGCACCCACCCAGTTTTAGTACAAGGGTGACAGTCAAAACAGTGAACTGGCCAGGCACAGGCATCCATCATCAGATCAAATGTTGACTTCACAGATGGAGCAAGGTCCAGGGGCCCTGCTGGACCATGAGGAGGTCTGGAGAGGAGCAAGGGAAGATGGAGGATATTTAAGGAGACACCATGGACCTCGGGGCAGCAGCTAATTACCAACTAGGACAGACTCAGCTCAAGATTCTAACAAGAAGAGCAGTACTGGGTGGCGCCTATGGCTCAGTGAGTAGGGCGCCAGCCCCATATACTGAGGGTGGTAAGTTTGAACCTGGCCCTAGCCAAACTGCAACAACAAAAAATAGCCAGGCACTGTAGCGGGTGCCTGTGGTCCCAGTTACTTAAGAGGCTGAGGCAAGAGAATCGCTTAAGCCCAGGAGTTAGAGGTTGGTGTGAGCTGTAACACCATAGCACTCTACCGAGGGTGACAAAGTAAGACTCTGTCTCTAAAAAAAAACAAAAACACAAGAGGAGCAGTACAAAGTTCACCCAGACTCTGGACTCCTGGGTGAACTCTGGCACAGGTGGGCCAGGCAAGGTGGGGGCAGCATGGTCACCAGCCCCAGCCCCAGGGGCTGGTCAGGGAGAGCCACAGCAGGCACTCTTAGGGTGCTGTGCCAGGCATGGGGCCCACTCACCACTGAGAAGTTGTGAGGGCCACAGGGCCCCCCTTGGTAGGAGCAGTAGAGCAGCATGTCCTCCAGCCGGTGGCAGGAGCGATTGTAGAAGCGGTGCAGGTTAAAGGGCTCCCCAGAGAAGGCCTCAGGCCCTGGTGGAGCCAGGGGCACCCCAGGGTCATCACTTTCATCCAGCCCCAACATGGGAGCGAGATAAAGTAAGTCGGGGTAGCTGAGCTGGGACAGCCTCACAGGATTGGTGTTGCACAGGGTGACTGCCGGGAAGGCCAGCTCCGTGGTGGCCACTTCATTTAGCAGAGTCACGTGTGGGTAGCTGAGGTAATAAGCAATGCGGTCCCCTACCTGGCACAGGAAGGCACCCAGTGCCAGGACAAAGGCCACTGCCCACAGGGCTTGCTTTGGTCCTGGACCCCCCTCCACAAAGACATGGCTGGCACCATGGAGAGTACAGCTGTTGGCAAAGGCCACCAGGTCCCTGGGTGAATCCCCCTCATTGGCTTCCTTCTTTGCTTCCTCCTTTTCTTTCTCTTCATCCTCTTCTGATTCAGAGTTGTTCCGCTGCTGGTGGTGGTAGTGGCAGGGACCCCATACATCTCCCAAGGGCCCTGGAGCCTCCTCTCCAGAGGAGAATGACACAGAGCAGAAGATCTGGATGGGCATCTTCTCCAGGGGCCTCCTGGTACCAAGGGATTGGCAGGAGAAAGGGAAAGGTGCCGGAGGGGAAGGTGATGTGACCTCAGGCAGGGGTCCAGCAGGGCCAGCCACCCAGCCCTGCTGCCAGGTCTCCGCTGCCACTGGTTTGGCCGTCCTTCCTCACCGGGGCCTCTGGCAGTGTGGCTGGGATGGGGCGGGGCGTGGAGAGGAGGCCCAGCCTGCCCTGCCAGGGAGGGAGGGTGTCTGGGCTGATGAATAATTGATGGCTGTGGCAAAGGGAGGCTGATAGAGAGGAGGGGGCCATAGCCCCTTTCCTGTCAGCAGCTTCAGCAGGACAGGGATTTGAGATAGTAGAAACCCTAGAAAAGGGCTAGGGCTCCTGGTACCCACCCCCTCAGGTGAAGGGGACCTAGTCCAGTCCTCTGCTCACAGTGACATCATAACCTCAGCTAGCAACAGAGTCCTCCCCTGCCGCTCCCGACCCCCCCCCCCACCAAGGACACACACACCCATGCTCTCTATCATCCTCTAATCTCTCTCTCTCTCTCTTTTTCTTTTTTTGCCATTTGTATCTAATACATCCTCCAATCTCTTCCTCAGCACATCTCTCAGTTTTCCCATCCCAAATCTGAGTCCTCTCCCTTATTCTCACCTGGCTCAGTTATTCCTCTGGGATATCTGAACACCCAAACCCCAATACACTCTCAGACCTATAATTCCTCTTTAATTTCCCTTGACCTACAATGCCCCCAATTATTTCATGGACCCCAATTCTCTCAATCTACCCTTAGACCCTAGAGCCCCTCTAATTATTCCTTGGAATCCCACCTTCCAGTCACTGCCCTAAACCCTATTAACTTTCCAGTTATTCCCTGACCCCCAATTCCCCTTGATCCCTGAGTTCCCTCCAGCCAGCCCTGCCCCCCAGTTCTGCCTCACATCAGCAGTGCCCTCCCATGCTGAGCTGCACTCAGGTCCCTCTCCCCTTCCCCACCCCCTCTGTGGCTTGTGGGGCAGCCCAGGTTCCATTAGCAGAGGTCTCTCACTGACCACAGACTCATTTCTGGCCAGTTCCTGGCATGGGGGGAGGGCCGCTGTCTCTTGGAGCTGGAAAGCTTTCTGGCAGGTTGCCACTGTCCCTTTCAGCTTGCCTGCCCCAATGTTCAGGAGTTTGAGGATTCTCCTCTGGTGGGTAGAAGAAATTGAGATCAGTGCTGCAACAGGGGTCCTGGGCCCATTGGAGACATTGGGAACCAACCTGG